CCCACCCCTCCAGGGGAGGGACCCGGCCTGAGCGAGGCAGGGGTATCCGAAAACCTACTTTTTACAATGGTTTCGTGCCCTACCACCTCTCCAGGTGGAGGACCCGCCCATGAAGCGAGGAGGGGTAGTTTTTTGTCTCCCCGAAAACGCTATAACTTTAAATGGTTTCGTGGATTCGTGCCCCTTCCCAAAATCCCCCCCTCCACGGGACGGCCCCCGCATCCTGGCCGAGTGGAGGGTATCGGAATCCATACTATTTACATGTTTCGTGCCCCTCCCACCCCTCCAGAGAGGCCCGCCCCTGAGCGGAGGAGGGTATCCGAAAAACCATACTATTTACATGGTTTCGTGCCCCTCCCTCCACCACTGCAGGGAGGCCCCGCATGAGCGTGGAGGGATCGGAAAATTCCATACTATTTACGTTTGGTTTCGTTTTCTGCCCCTCCCACCCCTCCAGGGAGGCCCCGCCTGAGCGAGGAGGGTATCGGACAACCATACTATTTACATGGTTTCGTGTCCCTCCCACCTCTCCAGGGAGGCCCCGCCTGAGCGAGGAGGGTATCGGAATACCATACTATTTACATGGTTTCGTGCCCCTCCCACCCTTCCAGGGAGGCCCCGCCTGAGCGAGGAGGGTATCGGAAAACCATACTATTTACATGGTTTCGTGCCCCTCCCACCCCTCCAGAGAGGCCCCGCCTGAGCGAGGAGGGCATCAAGAAAATGGGTCCCACGAAACCGTTAATCTCTTTATGTGGGGAACTCCGTTAGCATAATTAGTTAGATTCGCCGTGGCCATAATGGGCGTTGGGGAGGGCGTGACGCCTCTGAAGGTCTCTGGAGGTCCCCGGATGCCTAAATAGGTTTCTGGAGGCGTCTGCAGGCCCTTCGAAGCCCTCGGCGACGACGACGAGGACGAGGACGTCGACGAAGAGGAGGAGGACGACGACGACAGGGACGAGACGAGGACGGGGACGAGGACGACGATGACGAGGACGAGGGCCAGGACGAGGACGAGGATGACAACGGCCGCCTCTGAAGTTATCTAGAGGTCTCCAGAGGCCGAAGGAGGTCTCTGGAGACCTCTGGAGGCGTCTCGAGGCCCTTCGAGGATCTCGCCGACGACGACGACGACGACGACGGCCGCCACGAGGACGAGGACAGGGACGAGGACAACGATGAGGACGAGCACGAGAGCGACGACGACGACGACTAAAGCGACGACCACGGCGACGATGCCGACGACGACGACGACGACCACGACGGCAACAAAGAGGACGACGACGACAATATCGACGATGACGACGACGACGACGAAGGCGACGACAACGACGACGACAAGGACGGGGACGGGGACGGGGACGGGGACGGGGAGGACGACGACAACGACGACGACGACGACGACGGCCGCCTCTGAAGGTCTACAGAGGTCTCCCGAGGTCTCATGGGATCTCCAGAGGCCTCTGGAATCGTCAGCAGGCCCTGCGAGGCCCTCGGACACGATGACAAACGTTACAGTAGCCTGTAAGCGCGACATCAGCCTGCGACCATTACAGTGGCAATGCTGGAGGCGCACAAAAGGGGGGATGGGGGGGATCGTTACGTTATGGGGGGGTATGACGCGAGTATGGCCCACTTTGAAAACACGCTCCAGGAGGAGGAGGAGGAGGAGGAGGAGGAGGAGGAGGAGGAGGCGGAGGAGGAGGAGGAGGAGGAGGAGGAGGAGGAGGAGGAGGAGAGGGGTTTTGGGTTTCCATCTCTTGAAAGCGTGTTTTTTCATACTTCCGCCGCCTTCCGTCGGCTTTTTCCGCCAGCGGAGGCGGCCTCGTTCTGCCTCCGCCGCCCCTGCGCCGCCCTCTGCGGCGGGAGAGATGACAACTCCGGCGATCCTCAAAGGCACGGCTTTTCTTGGAGCGCCTCATGTGTGCTGAGGCATGACAAGTGAAGGGAGGGAGGAGGAGGAGAAGGATGAGGAGGAGGAGGACGATGCCGATGACGATGACGATGACGGGGACGGGGACGAGGAGGAGGGTGATGATGATGATGATGATGATGCTGATGATGATGATGATGATGATGATGCTGATGATGATGATGATGATGATGCTGATGCTGATGCTGATGCTGATGCTGATGCTGATGCTGATGCTGCTGCTGCTGATGATGCTGATGCTGATGCTGCTGCTGCTGATGATGCTGATGCTGTGCTGATGCTGATGCTGATTGCTGATGGCTGTTGCTGATGATGATGTCTGATGATGGTGATGATGATGATGATGATGATGATGATGATGATGATGATGATGATGATGATGATGATGATATGATGATGATGATATGAATATGATGATGAGATGAAGGAGGAGGAGGGAGGAGGAGGGGGAGGACGAGGAGGAGGAGGAGGAGGAGAAGGGAGGAGGAGGAGGAGGAGGAGGAGGAGGAGGAGGAGGAGGAGGAGGAGGAGGAGGAGGAGAGGAGGAGGAGGGGGAGGAGGAGGAGGAGGGAGGAGGAGGAGGAGGAGGAGGAGAAGGGAGGAGGAGGAGGAGGACGGAGGAGAGGAGGAGGAGGAGGAGGAGGAGGAGGAGGAGGAGGAGGAGGGAGGAGGGGAGGAAGGGAGGAGGGAGGAGGAGGAGGCAGAGGAGGAGGAGGAGGAGGAGGAGGAGGAGGAGGAGGACGGAGGAGGAGGAGGAGGAGGAGGAGGGAGGAGGAGGAGGAGGAGGAGGAGGGAGGGAGGAGGAGGAGGGAGGAGGGAGGTGGAGGAGGAGGAAGGAGGAGAGGGAGGAGGAGGAGGGAGGAGATGGGAGGGAGGAGGAGGAGGAGGAGGAGAGAGGAGGAGGAGGAGGAGGAGGAGGAGGAGGAGGAGGAGGAGGAGGAGGAAAGGGAGGAGGACAGGAGGAGGAGGGAGGGAGGGAGGGTGGAGGGGGAGGAGGTGGAGGAGAGGAGAGGGAGAGGAGGAGGGCGTAGGAGGGGGAGGAGGAGGAGGAGGAGGAAGGAGGAGGAGGGAAGGAGGGAGGAGGAGGAGGAGGAGGAGGTGGAGGAGGAGGTGAAGGAGGAGGAGGAGGAGGAGGAGGTGAGAGGAGGAGGAGGAGGAGGAGGAGGAGGAGGAGGAGGAGGAGAGAGTGGGGGCCCCACATAAGGTTCTCTGGGATCGGGAGGCTCCATACTTGCGGAGCCTCCACGGAGGCCGCGTCCCGATGCGACCGGCTCCAGAGAGAAAGGAGAGAACGCCCGAGGAGCGGAGGGAGAGGAGAAGAGGAGGAAGGAGAACTGAAGGAGCCCAGGGACACACAAGTAAACATGCACAAATCCAAAGATTCCCCCTATTTCCAAATATCTTCTGGGTGCTCGTCTTCCCCCCCCACCTCCCATATGTTCCCACATTATCCGGGGAATCGACGATTAACTGTGTCTGTGTATTATTTTCTTTTTCCCCTCCTGAAGAAAGGGGGGGAGGAGAACGGAGGTGGAAGGACGGAGCGAGAGGGAGGGAGATGGGGATGCAGAGGCACACCTTTGATTAAAAGCCCCAGTCCTCCGGAGGGCCCCTCTCAAAAGCCTCTCAACACTCGCGGGTCGACGCTCTGTCGGCACACCCGCGTCGGGAACTCTCCACACATGGCGCCGTGGATTTTCACGGCGATGGAGGTCAGAGCATCTGCCGTCCTAGTCCCCGTTCAAGCAAGCCCGCTCTCCTCTAGGGCCACCATCTTCGCGCTTCGCGCTCCGCTAAGCGCGAAGCACTTTTGCCTTCACGCTTTCGCGCCCCCCCCCCTGGAACAGGATGAGGGACTCGCGCCTCGCTCTGAAATCGCCCAGACCGCGAAGCTCGACTAACTTCGCACCCTCGCTGGTGGCCCTAACTTCGCACCCTCGTGGTGCGTTCTGACCAGGATCTCGAGGCGAACCCAGCGGTGGCGACGAGGACCTCCCAGGAGGCCCAGAGGGGGGACAGCCAGGGAGGGGCAGCGACGTGGATGCGTCTTCCTCCTCCGACCTTCCGTCCCCCTCGCCCTGCTGTGCTCCTGCGCTCCCCCTCGTGCGCACCCCTCCCCCTCTTGCAGCTGCCGCCCCCGCTGCACGGGGAGCCCCATCGCAGACCGGGCTCCGCTCGACAGCACCCCGGGCTCTTGCTCCGGCGCCGGGCCGGGAGAGCCACACTTCGCGGATGCCTCACGGCCAGCTCAGTCAACCAGGCCGCAGTCTGCGATCACGATCCGCTTGGGGGCCCCAGCGTATTCCTGACACTGCCGCAACATAAGCACACACACACACACCCTCGCCGACGCCCCGCTCCCTCCTCGCCCCTCCAGGGGAGGAGGGATCGAGGGCGGGAGGGGAGGAAAGACGGATGGAGATGGGGGGAGCAGGAGCAGGAGAAGGACGAGAGCGAGCGAGATCAGCACGAGGATGTGCAGGACCAGGAGCAGAAGGATGATTCTGATGACTGGAGGATGGGACATGGTGGAGAAGAAGGAGTGCGAGCAGGAGAAGGAGAAGCAAGGTAGCAAGGTGAAGGATTGAAAAGGAGGGGGGAACCCAGAGGAGGGTAGTGCGGAACTTGGAGGAGGCACGGCCCATGACGTTTTTGGGCCTGGCTCGACAGGCTCTTGTCTCGCGCCGTTTGCCCCGCACACCTCTTCGAGAAGAAGAAAAAACGCAATAAACATAAACTTGTGGCGCTCCGCGCATATTTCCTGGATCTGCGCTGGGCCCACCTCCCTGGCGCGCGGAGCGCGCCAGGGGCGGCGCTGGAGGCGCCGCTGGGGGGGTGCACAGCGCGGATCCAAGAAATCCGCGCGGAGCGGCAAGAGTTTATTCTTGTGGCGCTTGTTCTTGTTCGACTCTTGTCTCGCGCCGTTTGCCCCGCACACCTCTTCTCGGGGGCGCGCAACCATGGATTAGCGATCCATGGAGTTGGCGCACGGTCGCCAAATCCATGGATCGGGGGAGGTGCCCTCCCCCAAAAATGCGGCCGGTGGCACCTCGTTCGGCGGCGGCAATCCGCGATTTCCCATGGAAACGGGACCCGTCGCTAATGTGAACGTTTTCTTATTCGGCGTTTCGACATTGGGCGAAGGGGCGGGGGGCGGGGGGGAGCGGGCGGCTGGTGGCGCCTCGCTCGGCGGCGGCAATCAAGGATTTCCGATGGAATCGGGACCCGTCGCTAATCCACGCCCCCTCAACCCGTGTTTGCGACCGCCTGCGTGCCTGTAGCTAGCGTGGCGCACAAGCCGCGTGCCTGGAGCCAGCAGTGGCCAGACTCGAAGACCGCCTCCGGCGCCGCGGCCCGTTGCGCCTCGCCCACGCCCCCGCTGCTCTCCCTCGGCACCGCGGGGGGAAGCTCTCGGCCTTTCCTGTCCTCCCACAGGCGGCTCGAGGAAGAGAAACGACAAATAGTCAGACAATGCGCATCAATAGCCAAAAGAGCCTGACAAGTCGTCACCATACTTTCTACCACTTTTTGGGGATCGCTTTCCCTCCTGTAGCAGGACATGCCAGCCTTCAGGGAAGCGAGCGGCCTCGACGCAGGCACAGCTGGGCATGCAGCCGTCCGGCCGTGCCCCGATGCCGGTGCGCTCGGGGCTGTGCCGCGCTCCGCGGCCGCACCTTCGGATGGCCCTCCCATCCCGCGAGGAGGAGCGCAGCCCTGCTATCGGCGCGGCCGAGACTCGCAATCCTTGCCTAGACCGCGTCCTGCTGCTGACATCTCGTGGGGCCGTGTCGCACCCCTTGCCGTCGCTCGGACGTCCATTTCTCGTGTGTGGTCTCGATTTCGCACGCTCATTTTTCGAAAGCAATCCAAGATGCTCCTCAATGGTCCTCCCCGAGGAACACATGCACACGCCCGAGCGATGCCAGGACCCTGTGGCCGCACCCCCTGGCGCCCTCTGCCCAGCATGGGAGCAGATCAGACTCTAGGTTGGGAGCGCCAGTAGAGGCCTCCTGGATGGGGTCGGAGTAGATGTGGTCGGAGGATCGCGCCGCATCGCCGATGCATCAGCGATGTATCGGCGATGCATCGCCGATGCACCGGCAATGTCGGTGATGCACTGGCGACGTCGATGTGGCGAAAATCGGGCTCCGCATCCAGCCGCATCGCCGATGCGGCGCCATCCTCCGACCCCATCTGCTCGGACCCAATTTAGGAGGCCTAGAAATATGCACACGTCCGAGGGATACCAAGATCCTGTGGCCGCACCTCCTGGCGCCCTCTGCCCAACATGGGAGCAGATCTTTGGACGCCCGAAGTGGGTACGGGAAAATGGGCACGATGCCCGACAACCAATGTTGTCCCGAACCGACAGTGGCCGCTGTTTGGCAGGCGGCTTTCTGTCTCGAATGGACACAGGCCGCGGCGGCACCGACAGCGAGTCCTGAGTAAAAGCGAACAGGAACTGCTGTTGGTATCTGTACTCCAACCCCATCTACTCCGACCCCATTCAGGAGGCCTGTCCAAAAACCGACAGCGGCCGCTGTTGAGCGGGTGGCGTCTTGTCTTCGAGGAATCACGTCCGCGGCGGAGCGGACAGCGAGTCCTGTTCAAAAGGAGCAGGAACTGCTTTTTGGCATCGTGCCCAGTCTTCCCGCACCCACTTCGATCGTCCCGACGGGAGCAGATCAGGCTCTCGGGGGCACGCAGACATGGATTAGCGATCCATGGATTTGGCGCGCGGTCGCCACACCTATGGATCGGGGGAGGTGCCCTCCCCAAATCCACGATTTCACATGGAAACGGGACCCGTCGCTCATGTGAACGTTTTCTTATTCGGCGTTTCGACATTGGGCGGAAGGGGAGGGGGAGGGGGGGGATCCTGGCTCCAGACCTCTGCTGAGTGTGAGAGTTTGGAGCCGTGCGTCCTGTGGAGGAGAGGCCCCACCTGCTCGAGACAGGCCCCCCAAAGAACACCCAATATCAACTCCACGGGGGGCGGGGGAGGGGGAAGGGGGGGGAAGGCGAGGGCCCACGCCGATCGGCACAACAAGAAATAAGAAAACGATCGCAATCCACGCCCCTGGAAGCCCCGACCCTTTCCCAGGGACCGGCTTCTCCTCCCGAATCGTTTTTGGACAGCCCCGGGGCCCGGCGAGGGCCTCCCAGGTCCGAAAATGGCGAAAAACCTCCCGTCCCGACTTCGTCACGACACGACCATGTCTGGATTCGTGTTTGCGGTCGCCTGAGGCTTAACGTCGGGAGCGCCAGGCAGCCGGAGGTCCCCCCCCCTGGACGCCTCGCCCCTCGCCCTCTGCGGGGGTCGCGTGCGCGCCCTCTGCGGGCGCAGCAGCTCCGCGCAGGGGGGGGTCCGCACATCGCCCTGGGCGCTGCCCGTGCCTGCATCGAGGCTCGTGCTGCCCCCATCGTGCTCGAGGACCACATCCCATGTAGAATTTCGAGCACCCAGAATCGTATCGAAACAGTGTCGAGCGAATATCGCCTCCCGGGGCCCGACGCGTGAACACCCTGAGGCTTCGCTACTTGCTTGGTGTTCGAAATTCATTCTGGTGGTCAAGACCAACGTAGGTTGGAACATCACAAACCAAGGCCCGCGAGCCGACATTTTTTGTTGAGCAAGGACCGGCCGTCCTGGCATTCCTACTTGCCTACCACGACTGTTCCCAGACCCCCCGGAAACGGCTTATACTAACACAAACAAAATTCTTAGACTATGAGTCCTATCCGTTGAGTCGAGACGGTCTCATTTGTACATGTTCCAATAACATTTTGTACAGACCACAAGAGGTGTTTAGAACTTGCTTTGCTGGACCTAAAAGCAAGCCAGGGCGCGTCGCGATTGCTAGATTTTTTGAGCTGCGCAGCCACGGACCACCCCAGAGGGAGCAAATCATCACGATATCGGCAATGGCCCCGACCCTGGGCGGCATCCCCCGGGGCCGTAGGCGACCCGAGGATGGGAGGGCGAGGAGGGGGAGGAGGAGGAGGAGGAATAGGAGGAGGAGGGGGAGAACAGGACAGGACATCCGCATAAGAGGGTCAACGTCGAAACGCCCGCAAAGGAACAGGGGGGTACGACATGCAAAACCCCCTGCGATTATGGTGTGCCGCGGACCCAGACTCCTCATGGGGCTGGCAGGGGGCATGCCCCGATGCTCTAAGGGGGCGAGCTCCGAGGTGGTCCCGTAAGAGAGGCTCGCTACCTTGTGAGTACGAGTCCCTGCCAGTGCGGGGGGAGCGGCTGTTGGCCCTTTTCGCATGCCCCTTCCATTGGGGGACGCGCTGGGCGAGCAGGGCTCCCAAGCGCGGGGGGGAACGACGACGCGACCTCACTCAACGACGCAGGGGAAAGAGGTGGAGGGAGAGAATGCAGGAGGCCCCTTTGCGCCAAGCTTCTGCTGGGGGGCCGAATGAAATGTTTACCTACATTCTGCTGCGCCCACGCTTCGAACAGAGTCCCCTCCCCTCCCCCTCCCCCCCACACCTCCACCACAGAAGCTCCTGCACTCCGAGAACCTTCGCTAGCGCGCTCAGCTTTCACTGCGCGTAGACAGATACTTCCCGCGCCAAACGCGCTTAGAAATGTGCGACCTCTGCTATTTTCCTCCCTCTGCAAGGTCACGTCTATTACATCCTAAAATCTGAAGATACATGCGGCCCATGCATAATATGTGTACGACACCCCAGTTCAAAATCATTAAATGTCTGCGTGTGTGTGTTTGTCTCCCACTTTGATAAAAACTCCACAGGATATCCACTCTGAAACGGCGTCTTCAACCCTCGCCTGTCCCACGTGCAGCAAATGTGTACTTGTCTCCTCCCAACCTGATAACATCCCCAATGCTTTCCCATGTTGAAAGGACAAATTCCACTCTCGGTAAAGTGCGGGATGTGCCTCTTTTAGCCGATAGGTGCTGTAATTCACCGCAGACGAATATTAGCCAATGTTGTTCCGCATGATGTCATAGATGATGCCCTCCACGGTTTGTCCGTAGCAGCTGCGGTTCCGCTCCTCGATGACAAACTCTTCAATGGTCGTTTCATTGACCACTATAAGGTCATCTGGAGCCCCCGTTGGGTAATTGTTACGTTCCCGTTCCTTCTACTGCCTACTTCCCCTGCATTTCCTCTTCACCTGCGCAGCCCCTCTGTCAAGCAGAACGTCTAAGACTTCAGTAAGTACTTCGACGTCCATCCCACCTTCTGTGCACAGTGTTTGCAATACGCCAGTACACGTTCCTTTGTTCGTTGCTGTAGAACTGAAGAACTGCAGAAACATTTTAATCCCAAGGTCACCATTGAAGCAAACCTCCCCCTCCTCGTCCGGCTCTCCGCGGAAGCCCATCCTTCGTTTCTGAGAGAGGTCCTCTGCCTCTTCAAAAATTCCTGCAGTATGTTCCGACTTGCCGACAGAATGGTCATGGGTTTTCGAGGTTCATCACTGGCGAAGGCCACTGGCCTCCGAACCTCGGCGCCTCCACCATCCCTCTGGCCTCGTCGTCCAACTTATCTCGCCGATGGGCAAATGAATGCAGTTCTGGGCAAATAGGGTTCCACTGGAGCAATTGATCTTCGATCACCAGTGCCAGCTTTAATCGTTCCCTGCTTCTCTTTTCATTTGCTTCAAGGTCACATTCCAATCTGCCATTGGAATGTGTGTAGATGCGGCGCGTGACATTCCCATCACCTGAAAAGCACGGGACTATGTGTTGTTGAGGTTCCTCATCGGTCGAACTGATGACCTCCGAACCTCAGGGCCTCCGTCTTCCTTCGAAACGTTGTTTTCCATCTTCTCTCTCCGGCGTACAAACGAATGCAAAGCAGGCCCACTTGGATTCCATTGCAGCAGCTGTTCTTCAATCTCCTGGTGCAGCTACTCCCACAGTTCTGAGTCGTTTATGTGTTTTCGAAGCTCTTCGTTGGCACCCTCTAGTTGCCTCCGAGCCCCGGGGCCTCCATCTTCCCTGTGGCAACTGCTGTCCAGCGACTGCACTTGATCAACCAATTGCTCGCAATTACATTCCTGGCAACCTGGCATTTCCGAGCGTGGGTACGGAGGATCCTTTCTCTTCGTCTTTGGTTCGTCGTTTTCGTTTCAAGGTCACACTCCAATCCTCCATAGACATGTGGAAATGTGCGGCACAAGAGAACTCCATCACCAAATTGCGACCCTGTCACGCGAGAATGGGTCGCAAAAGGTACGGTATGGGAATGGCTGCAAGGACTGTCTTGTTTCTTCTCTCCGTCGTTCCTCCTTCCCCCGTACTCCCTCTCTGGCCCGAAACTGGACAGGGCGGAAGTCGTGTGAGTGAGTTTCAATGAAAATCCTCCCTCCGTGGGGGCTCCAAGTGCCTGAGCCTCCAACGCCGACTGAGGAGGAGGAGGAGGAGGAGGATGAGGAGGAGGAGGAGGAGGAGGAGAGAGGAGGAGGACGCATCGCCTAAGCCCTTCGGAGAAACCCTCTACCCGACCCTCTTGCAGATAGGGTGAAGCTCTTTGCCCAATCTCGTCCAAGCTGCACACCGAGCCGGCGGACTGCCCAGGCATTGCTCGAGTGGACAAGGCGACGGCCCCGCGCTCGACGCAGAAGAGGGCAAGCCTTGCCAATTGGAACGCGCGGGTAGGAGAGGTCTGCCGATTCCATCGCGTCAGGCAGGCATCATGAATCATGCTCGAGTCCGAACGGCGTCGGCTCTACAGGACCAGCCTTCGCGAGCTTGCGGCAGCAATCACCGTCCTGGATAAATTTGAAGCGGGCGTGATCAAGCAAGTCCGAATCCGGCACCTGTCCAACGAAAACCGGATCCGTGCCAAGGGCGTCGCCGCATCGGTTGCGGCTGCTCGAGACGATCTGGTCGCACGGTGCGCTTCCATCACAATTTGACGCTGTTGACAGCATGCTGATAGGCAGTACAGTCAACCCGTATCAGAAGGATACAACATAGGGATGCAAGGGCCTTGAAAGGTCATGTCGACACCTTGCGAGCGGAGCGCGGCCAGCGAACGCAGCCAAGGATGGGCCGAACGGGCAAGGATGCAAGGGTACCCTGGGGAAGGTTGCCCATCCTTCTTATGCGGGTTGACTGCAATGATCGAGACTCTGTGTCATGGCCGCCAATGCGTTATGCGCGTGCGAAGATCTCGATAGAAATGCCCTGTCGCGTAGAGAGATTACCGAGGAGAGGCAAGGCAGGAGGAGGAGGAGGCACAAGGAGAATGGCACACGAGCGCAGACAAGAAGAACCCTCCCCCTGGCCTTCCCGAACCCGAGGACGAGGAGGGCGAGGATGAACAACATAATGATCAGGGAGACGTAAGACTCGGGTACGGGGGACACGGGTTGGCCTGACGGGGCCGTCGTGACAATGACGAGACCCAATCTGAAATTTGACGCGAGCTCCCGCTGCAGACATCCCTCGAAAACTGGACCGTCAAAATCCAGGACGCGCTCGTCAAAGAGCGTCGGCAAACCCGAGTTCCGGCGTACTCGAGTCTTACGCTTCTCTGAAATAAGACAGATGATGAGGACGAGTGCGAGGCAGTGCATGCAGCGTTGGCAAGAAGTTCCTCCTCGATGTGTTCAAGGACCTCCAGTCCAGTCAGCACCTCTCCGAAGCAGACCCACCGCTTGTCCATCTCGGGGTATTCCTTCAGGGTGATGAAAAAGCAAGAGCCCTGGGTATCATTCTCCTCGTTGCGGTCCATTGACAGCATGCCCCTCTTCATGTGCGGCACCTTGAAAGACTCAGCTGGGAAAACGGTGCCCGTGACATCGACACCTTTGTTCCACTCTGGACGGTTGAAGTAGAACTCGGCGCCCTCGCCCTTCTTGTCCAGCATCCGCATGACCGTGCGGACCTCTTCCAGCTCATCCTCGTTGTTGCCGTCCATCGCTTCGCCCTCCCTCCTCGGCTTCCCCGTGGCGTCCCGTGGCGTCCCCAGGTCTGCGCCCCAGCGCAAGGTCCATCCTCTCTCGATCTTGCCCACCTTCCTGGGGGTCATCTTGAAATTCTCGTAGAAAGCGAGATACTCTTTGAGTTCATCTGGGTCCATCTTGATCTTGACAATGTCAAGGCCAGGATTTCCTGCCCCCATGAAATGATTCTTCCGCACGCTGTGAAATTTGTTGCTCTTGAGGTGATATGCCGACTTTTGCGTGTTGCCGTCGTCGTCCTCGTACTCGCCAGTCACCAGGCCAAGGAAATTCTTGACGGTCTTAGGGAGGTCTTCGCCGAATAGGCCGAACTCGACCCGGCCGAGTTTGTCGCCATCGATGTCACTCAGCTCGAAAAATATCCGCGACGTCACCTTGGGCTTGATTCGCTCTTCGTGCAGGAGCGCGTCCCACGTCTGCGGTTCCAGCCGCTCCTCTATCCTCTCGGTCCCCAGTGTGGGGTCGTGCCGCGTCCTCATCATGCTCGGTCTTCTCAGGGTAAGGCTGAGGCAGTTCACTCCAGCCATGTCCTCCATAGTCCAGAAACAATCCCTCTTATTTATGTTGTTCAGGATGTTTCCGTTCAAGACCAGCTTCTCCTTCATCGTGCCAGCCTCGTCGGTATATCGGTAGCCGAGCTGCAGAAGCGGCCCACGCTGGGGGTCAGGATGATCCTCGCCGAGTCTATACACGACGTCGTTCTTGCCCACCCAGTCCTCCAGCGGGACGATCACGTCGATCGTCCTCTTGTCCTGAGACATCTTCCAGAAGTACGTCTTGTCGGGGTCCGTCGACGCCCCTCGCGGCCTCGCGCTCGTGTCTTTTTCCACCTCGCCGCGCTGCCACCGCGGGGGTGCGCTGTGCTCCTCCCCCCCCTTGGGGGGAGCCCAACGCATCGATCGTATGTTTTTAGAGAGTGGCGTCGAAGCTGAGGTCGGGCATGTCCTCCTACAGGCGGGCTTTGGACAAATAAGCAGTAGTAAGCAAATCGTCAGCCATAGTTAAGGATAGTCGAACAAGTGCCCCCAGACTATGTTTCACCATTTTTGCATATTCCTCCTGTAGAGTGACATGCCCGACTTAAGCCGAAGCCGATGGGCCCCCCAGGGGGCGGAGGACCCAGGATCCCCCCCGTTGTGGCTGGTCGACCTCGTCGACGCCGTCGAGGACCTGCACCTGCATGTCCCTGAGTCTCGGCGGTGTCGGCTCTGGTTCGAGCCCGCTCGGTCCTTCGAGGGCACGAGTATAGACGCCTCCTAGATGGGGTCGGAACAGATGGGGTCGATAGATCGCGCCGCATCGCCGATACGTCGGCGATGCATCGGCGATGCACCGCCGACGGCGGCGACGTATCCGCGACGTCGGCGTGGGGAAATACGGACTCCACATCGAGCCGCATTGTCGATGCATCGGCGATGCGGCGCGATCCTCCGACCCCATCTACTCGGACCCCATCTAGGAGGCCTAGATCCTTCGAGGGCACGAGTCAGGGGGGAGGGGGGCAAGCGAACGGGATGCGACAGCGAAGGCGAGATGGTGACTTCTGGAGGAACCGCTAATTGCTACAAATCCACATCAAGTACTGCTAGACTCCTGCCCTGGATCTCTAGGGGACGCTGCATATGAATACGTTGGCACTCCTGGGTGCGGGCAAGCACTCAGATCCACCACCCCTCGAAAGCTCATCGAGATCCCGGGGCACAACTCTATAAATGCGGTGGGCACCACCGTCCTTGCAGTTGCGGATGAGATGGCGGTGGCGGGTCTTGTCGACAGCTTGCAAGGCCCAACGAGACATGAGAAGGAGCTCACCGCAGGCGCCGATATTTTTCCAGAGCGAGCCCGCCGCAGGCGCAGACTTTTCAAAACAGCGCGAATGGGTTGCGGATGGGTCGTCGGCGGGTCGCCAGGCGAACCGCGCGGCGTCGCGGGTGGAACACCAGTGGCTCGCAGGTGGATCGCGGGTAGGTCGCATGTCGGTCGCGGGGCGGGGCCGACAATCACAACAACAGCAGCAGCAACAACTAACACATCAACAACAACAACACCAACACCAACAACAGCAGCAGCACCAACAACAGCAGCAACACCAGCAACAACACCAGCAGCAATAACACCAACAACAACACCAACACCAACAACACCAACATCAGCAATAACAGTCACAATAACACCAACACGAACACGAACAACAACACCATCAACAACACCAACAACAATAACAACCACAAGGACGACACTGCATGTCGAGCCCCGTTTCACGGGTACTGAGGTCAATGGTTGTCCTTCAGGGACGGCCATTGACCTAGAGCCCCGAGGGTCGCCCCCCCCCCCCCCTCCCCCTCAGCAACCAGCAACCAGCAACCCAACTGGCCCCTCAAGCTCTTATGTAATCCTGCAAAGGCTAGATCTAGCTCGAATAGAATCCTACTCGGGTTTGGGCCCAGTTTTAATGGAATCCTACAATAGCTCGATCCAGGCTAATGAAATCGTGCTCGGGCTGGACCCTGCTCCCATATAATCCCACAAAAGCTGTATCCAGCTCGAATCGAATCATGCTGATAGGGCTGAATTCAGCCCTACTGGAATCCTAATACGGGCCGCTCCAATTTCAATCTAATCGTACTATGGACTGGTTCCAGCTCTGATAGGACCGTGCCAGTGCGCGGCTCAACTCTACTTGGACCCTACTATGGTCTGTATGCGGCTCTACTCGAATGAAACTTCATTGGGGCTCGATCCAGCCTTAATTCGGCGGTGAGCACGGGGGAGAAGTGAGAAGAAAAAGGCCTTCTCAGAAGGCTCGGCAGTCCTCCGGCCTTCCGAAAACTTTTCAAGGCCCTCCCTGAAGACAGAGAACCTCTCGGAAGGCGCGAGGGCTTTCGAGGAGCCCCGCCGCCTTCTGAGCAGGCCTTCTCCTTCTCACTTCGCCCCCTCGCCCGCCGCCGATGAATATAGAAGAAGAAACGACATAAACGTAGGCTTTTGGCGCTCCTCGCGGATTTCTTGGATCTGCGCTGGACCCCCTCTCCCTGGCGCGCGGAGTGCACAAGCGGCGGCGCCGGAGGCGCCGCCGGGGGGGGGGGCCCAGCGCGGATCCAAGAAATCCGCGCGGAGCGCCAAAAACTTACGTTTATTGTGTTTTCTCCTTCGAGAATACAACCCGCGAGCCCCCCTTCCTTTGGACGCCCGAAATGGGTACGGGAAAATGGGTACGATGTCCAACAACAACTGTTGGGCCGCTGTCGGGCAGGCGGCCTTCTGCCTCAGATGGACAAGGCCCGCGGCGACGCCGACAGCGAGTCCTGTTCAAAATGCAGGTCCCCGTCGCCAGGGCGGCCTCCAGGAGCTCTGGCTGGCCAGGCTGCTGACCGCCCCGCGACCCCCGGTGGCCTCCAGGGGCGGGGAATTGGTCAGGCTGCAGCGCGCTGCTTTGAGTTCGAAGCAGTGGCGAAGCGTCCTGGCTCGCCTGCAGGCCCATCACATAATGTGCTAAGAACCTGTTGTCTGCACGACATGTTATTAGCACACTTCTGGCCGAGACTGTCTTTGTACCCACTTCTTTCCGTTCCCACTTCCACCGCCCCGACTCGCCCGGTCTCCGATGGGCCCCGGCTTGATCTCCGCGCGCCGAGCGCTGCGGCCCCGGCGTGATCTCCGCCCCGCGGGCAGGAGCGCGGCGGCGAGCCCGACGGCGGCGCCCGCGGCGAGGCCGGCGGCGGGGGGGTCCACCGAGGCGCCGTCGGGTGCGCGCGCGGGGCCTCGCCGCGGCGGGGGGGGGGGGCTCCTCCCCAGACCCACAGGCTCCTCCTCTTCCTCCTCCTCCTCCTCCTTCTCCTCCTCCTCCTCCTCCTCCTCCCGTTCTTCCTCCTCCTCCTCCTCCTCCTCCTCCTCTTCCTCCTCCTCCTCCTCCTCCATTCCTTTTCCTACGAAAAACTGTACCCTGTCGGACGGGCCGGGCGTTTCGCATGAGACTCCTTCACTATTTATGACTTCGAAGCTTGAGTTTAAACAAATTGCAGGAGTTTCGCGAATTGAGGGCGGGTGGTTTTCAAAATGTGGCTCTCGCCTTAGCGCCGCGCGCATTCGTTTAAACAAATTGTGGGAATTTCAAAGATTGAAGGCGGTTCCTTTTCAAAATGTGGCTCTCGCCTTAGCGCCGCGCACATTCGATTTAGACATTTGCGAGAGCTTCCCAGATTGAGGGCGGTTCTTTTTCAAAATGTGGCTCCCGCCTCAGCGCCGCGCACATTCGTTCATAACATTTGAAAGAGTTTCACGGATTCCCACGATCAACGTACCAGAAATGGTGTTTGAGAAGAATTCCGGATTTTGCGGGCGCAACAATTACATTGATTCGCGGTGTTGAAATCCCCCAAATGGCGTTCTGGCACGATTCCGGATCGTCAAGACGCAGCAGTCAGGTTGATCCGTGGCGCTGAAATCCAGAGAACACTGTTTCGGCATGCTGCAGGATCTTCAAGGGTGTCTTCCAACGAGGCAGTTCCCTCAATGGAAATGAACTGTTGTAGGGGCTTATGAAGAGGAAGCTTGGTGGGAGGGTTAATTCAAACATCGTTTATGACTCTTTGATTTCCACTGGTCCTCCTCCTCCCCCTCTTCCTCCTCCTCCTCCTCCTCTTCCTCCTCCTCCTCCGTTCTTGTTCCTTTTTGTCACTCCTCCCTGCCGCATCCCGAAATCAATTTTTAGGGCGGGCTGGGCGTTTCACCTGAGACTTCTTCAGCACTTCTGACCCTGAGGCTTGAAAGCTGTCAACAGCTTTACAGATGGAGGGCGGGGCATTTTCAAAATGTGGCTCTCGCCTCAGCGACGCGCGCATTCGTCGTACAACTACTTTGCAGAAGTTTCACACATGCAGGCGAATGGTTTTCAAACTGTGGCTCTCGCCTCAGCGCCGCGCATTTTCGTTTTACAACTTTGCAAGAATTTCACGGACTGAGGGCGAGTCGTTTTCAAAATGTGGCGCTCGCCTTAGCGCCGCGCGCATTCGTCTTCAACATGTGCAAGAGTTTCGCGGATTGAAGGCGGTTCCTTTTCAAAATGTGGCTCTCGCCTTAGCGCCGCGCAGACTCGTCTTAAACATTGCAAGCGTTGCACGGATTCCCATGGTCAACGTACCAGAAATTGCGTGTTGGAAGGGTTCTTGCTTGTGAGGATGACAAAATTATGCTGGCTCGCGGTGTTCAATTCCCATGGCGTTCTGGCACGATTCGGGATCGTCGAGACGCAACAGTCAGGTGAATCCGTGGCGTTGGACCCCCGAGAAAATGTTGGGCTTGCTTCAGGGTATTCAAAGAGGTGTTGTCCAACGAGGCAGCTCCCAGCTCCCTCAAAGGAAATGACCGCTGTCGGGACCTATGAAGAGGGAGTTCGGGGGGAGGGTGTCTTCCGCACTAGTCCTCCTCCTCCTCCTTCTCCCCCTCCTCCTCCTCCTCCTCCTCCTCCTCCTCCTCCTCCTCCTCCTCCTCCTCCCCTCTCCTCCTCCTCCTCCTCTCCTCCTCCTCCTCCTCCTTCTCCTCCTCTCCCCTCCTCTTCCTCCTCTCTTCCTCCCTCCCTTTCCTACTCCTCCTCCTCCTCATCCTCCTCCCCGTCTCCTCCTCCTCCTCCTCCTCCTCCTCGTTCTCGTCCTCCTCCTCCTCCTCCTGCTCCCTTTCCTCCTCCTCCCTTTCCTCCTGCTCCCTTTCCTCCCCCTCCAGTTCCTCCTCCTCTGTTTCCTCCTCCTCCCTGTCCTCTCTTCCTCCTCCTCCTCCTCCTCTTCTTCTGCTTCTTCTTCTACTTCTTCTTCTGCTTCTTCCTCCTCCTCCTCCTCCTCCTCCTCCTCCCGTTCTTCTTCTTTGCTAATGATGACGATGGTGATGATGCTGATGATGATGCTGATGATGATGAAGACGATGCTGGTGATGACGACGACGATGATGACGATGATGGTGATGCTGATGCCGATGCTGATGATGATGATGGTGATGATGATGGTGATGGTGATGCTGATGGTGATGATGATGCTGATGAGGATGAGGATGATGATGGAGATGATGATGCTGATGATGATGTTGATGCTGATGATGCTGATGCTGTTGCTGATAATGCTGCTGCTGCTGATGATGATGATGATGCTGCTGCTGATGATGATGATGATGATGATGATGATCGCACGTGGCTGCGGGCAGCTGTGGTCAATTCAGGCATCGAGGGCAAGCTGGGCCGCAGCTCAGACCACGAGGTCCTCGGTGTATACGGAGGCAGGCGGCCCCGTCGTGCGCAGCCCAAAGCTTGGCTTAAGTCGGGCATATCTCCTACAGGCAGAGCTTCGACGAAAAAAAACAAATTCCCAAACATTGCCGCAAAATGCTCAAGAATAGTAACAAATCGTCCCCAGACTTTTTTTAGAGTATTTTTGATTATTCCCCCCTGTAGAGGGACACGCCCGACTTAAAGCTTGGCAGATTTTAGAGCGGGAGCGAGCTGCAGAGCACAAAGTCCCTGGATATCTCACCGGCGTAGTCGATGTCTTCTCCCAAACCCGATCCGCACGATAGTGGAGGAAGGGAGGAAGGCGCGCCGTAACGCAGGGAGGTGAAGGAGGAGGGGGCAAGTGAGGTAGTGTGCGATTGAGTAGGGCACCCCTGGCATTGAATGTAGCACCTTCGCTGGCCCAAAATGTGCATTCTACAGGTGGCGATCCACCCACCCAGCAGTTTGAGGACCGACCCCCAAAAACGCATGGGCGGGAGCTGGCAAGGACGGACTTCGAGGACCTCCAGCGGGGGCGGAGCAATGAGTGAGGGGAGCCAGGCACGCGCGCGCATCTGCAGCGTCAGGTGCAGCCTGTGGGGGAACAGTTCGCGGGTAAGAGGCCAAGCGCACGCCCCTTGGATGCGTGAGCGCTTTTGAGGCTGTCGGGCAGTCTCACGCAGCTGCTTGAAGGCCACTGCAACCGCAGCACTCTGGGAGGCAGAGGCAGATCCTCGGGAACACTGCGTGCGACGCGCGCTGCTGGAAAGGAAGCGCGCCACGGAGTCCGGATCGCGCCACAAGGGCGGATAACCGCGACCTGTGGACAGTGCGGACGAACGCACTCCGCTCCCAGGAAGTAGCCTCCAGTCGAGAATCGTCTTGGTGGCGGTCCCCTAGCTGGAGGCCGCGTCGTATACTGCAGCCGAGGGGGGCGACGCATGGGGTTGGTTCGGGCGTGTCCCTACGGGCGGATTTAGGACGAAACAGAAAAAATCAAAACGTACCCCAAAGAGGTCCAAACCTACTCAAAAAGTCGTCCCCTGACTATTTTTGACTATTTTCGAGTATTCCCTCCTGTAGATGGACAAGCCCGACTTAAGCATTGGGGCTCCGATCGCGGAGCGACCACAGATTCGGGAACTTCAACAGCGCGTGAAGGCAACGCGGCTCCCTCGTGAGGAGAGGTCGCGGCCCCGGGAAGAATTGGGCTGCGCAGCCATGACGATGATGATGGTGATGATGACGATGACGGTGATGATGATGATGCTGGTGATGATGATGATCCTGATGCTGCTGCTGATGATGACGATGATGATGCTGATCCATATGCTGCTGCTGATGATGATGATGATGCTGATGATGATGATGATGCTAATGCTGATAATGATGCTGATGCTGATGCTGATGATGTGGCGGAGGAGGAGAAAGGAGGAGGAGCAGGAGGAGCAGGAGCAGGAAGAGGAATAATAGTAACAGGAGGGGCAGCGGCGAACCGAGAAGCTGGAGGAGGATGAGGACTGGGACCAGACACAGGAGGAGAAGCGCGATGATGAACAGCAGCAACAGCCGAACCAAGAAAAGCGAGGGGATTTGTTCCTGTCCTGGGCGCCTCCCGCCTCGTTCTCGTCGTCCATCTCCTCCGCATCTTCCCCCTCCTCTCTGTGATGCTCCTCCTCCCTTTCGTCTCGCCACATGCTTCCATGTTCCCTCCATTGCTCTTCCTCTCCATTTCTCCCTCCATCTCCCCCCCCCCCCCCCTCCTCGTCCTCCTGGCCCAAATCTGGCCTGTCGGCAGCCTCGCTCTGGTCAACGCGGAGGGGCGAGCATCGAGGGAGGGAACGAAGACCGGCCGAGCCGGCAGAAAAATCTCCATGCCGACTTCGCCAATGGTTCGGGCGACTGCCTGGACGACTTGAGCCCGCGAGCTGCAGCAGAGATCGTGGGGGCAGTGGGGAGGGAAGGACCAGGAGCAGGGCGGAGGGGAAGGAGGGACGGGGAGGGAGGACCCTCTTTGGGAAACTGGGGGAGCTGCCTGAGCAGGGCATGCTTGCGGATCTGCTTGAAGTGAGGCATGGCAGAACCAAGCGAGCGAAGCCGAGGGAGGACCGTGCCAACATCATCGGCGCACCCGCCTGCATCTCCTGGGATGCCTCCTTGGGGTGGATTCTCGACGGCCTCATAACGCAGTCTGACCATAAATCGACGCCCACAAAGACCCCGAAAGGGGGCTCCGCTGAATGACTCCGCTACATAGACAAAACATGGAATATCCAAATATCCAGCGCTGATTCTTATGACAAGTTTTAGCCACCATGAAGTACATGGATCTCCCTAGCGGCCCCAACGGCGCCGCCGGGCCAGAAAACCGCCTCAGGGGTCGAAAGCTGTGAAACAAAAGCGCGTCAGGCCCCTATATGCCGCCACGCTGGTTCCGGGCAGGCTGTGCTGTCCGGCGGAAGGGGACGAGGAGGGGAGAAGCAGGCAGACGACGACGAACGCCCAGGCGGGAGGCCAGGGCCGGCGGGAGGCCTGTGGTGCTGGTGTCAAAAAGGGGACTGTTTACCCTCTGCCTTCTCCCCTCCTTCCTCGTGCCGTCCTTCCTTCCGTCCTTTCCTTCCCTCCCTGCCCGGCTCCCCCGCCTAAATTCTGTCCTGCCTTAGGTTCTTGCACTGCAGCCTTCCTGCCGCTCATGACTCCTACCATCCTGCCACTGCCACTTCGCTTCGGGAAGCAAGTGTCGTCCCAAGCGCTCGCGGGAACACCCTGGAGTTCGCGTTGCACGCGAAAGCCGTGCCAATGGCGGGACGCGACAGCACAAATCTCCACGTCGCAACGCTGCGGGGATCATAATACCAAAGAGCGGCACGAACGCAGGTCCGCGCAGACCTGCGAAAGGGCTTGACTGACGCCGTCTATGTTTTGTTTTTTTCTGCGCAAGGCGCCTCGCGTGGGAAGGCGCGCGCGTTCCGCGGCGGTGAGCGGGCGCTGCTGGTGTGGGGAAACCACAAACTACCGATGCAGGCCTCGGAAGAAATCAGCGAACACTCCTGCCACATCCATGTGTTAATGCCCACCACACAAGATCAACATTGGCGGTGGGTTGGATGAGATGCGCTTCGACCGCAATCTCTCCCGCGCGAACCAACTTTCTGAGTATCAGGGGGCGAAGAATGTCCACAGATTGCTTCCCTTCACCGTACCGCTACTCCCCGGACCTCTCCCAGGGCGCATTATGACCAGAGTTTTTACGGTGGCGACGCGGGCCTCCGAGGAAGCCCGAAACGGCGAAAACGGTTTGAGGGCGGTGCAGCCAAGCCGTATCATAAGGATGCGCGGTGAGGATGTAATTAGGGCCGTGCAAGGCCATGTCGACACTTTTCGGGCGGGGCGCGGCCAGCAAAACAGGCCAAGGATGGGATGAAGGGAAGGATGCGAGGGTAATCTTGGGAAGTTGCTCATCCTTGACAGCTCCTCTTCCGAACCCTAGCGATGCATGAAGAACGCCCTTGCATCGGGGCCTCACCCACCTTGGCGGTGCGAAGAATGGCGTGGCCGGTGGGACGAAGGGGGTCGGCATCCTGAGAGGGAAAAGGCACCTTTTATAAACGCCCAGAGGTGCTGAATGGCACGTCTCAAACCATCCGCCTTAATGAAAGGAAACGATTAAACAACTTTTTGGGGCGGACGATTAAAAAATTGTTTCGCGGGCCTCCTCGCCCCCGCAATAGCGTGGGGGCAACGCAGGCAGACGGGGGGCTGACAATTCCGGGTTGCCTGGAAGGCCAGGGGGGGGGGCACGGGGTGGCGATCCATGGCGCGGGGGCCAGGGGGGTGGACGGGGTGATTTTTCAGGGCGAGCTCGTCCTCCTCCTCCTCCTCCGCCTCCTCCTCGTCCTCGTCCTCCTCCTCCTCCTCCGCCTCCTCCTCGTCCTCGTCCTCCTCCTCCTCCTCCTCGTCCTCCTCCTCCTCCTCCGCCTCCTCCTCCTCCTCCTCCTCCTCTTCCTCCTCCTCCTCTTCCTCCTCCTCCTCCTCCTCGTCCTCCTCCTCCTCCTCCTCTTCCTCCTCCTCCTCTTCCTCCTCCTCCTCCTCTTCCTCCTCCTGGTGATCAAGCGCGCGAAGGAGAACGAATAGAAAATCAGTTTCCCCAAAGGGGCAAAAGCAAACGCCGGGGGGCGGACGTTTTAAAAAACAGTTTCCGGCGGCTGAATTCTATTAGTCCGCCCCACTCAATCATTTTGGGGGGTCCGGGAGGGGGGGGAGGCGGTTTTTTAAAATCGTTTCCCTGCATTAGAAAGCAACCACGTTCGCCCCGACCGCGACCCCGTCCAAGCAAGTTTTCCGAACTGCGTCCAACCGTGGCCACAGACACCACTCAGGAGGCCTGACAAACTGGGAAAACGTCAGAACCGCAGAATTCGCACCGCCTTTGGCACCGACGCGAAACCGACTACTGCCACCTGCTGCTGCTCCTCCTCTTCCGACATGCAGGCAGGCAGGCCGCCCCCTCCTTTTCCAGCACTTGGGGCGGAAAGGGCGCGCCAGTCTGGAACGCCCAGCCCTGTCAGGCAAGCGGACCGGCCAAGGCGGAGGAGGGAAGAGTTGAGGAAAGGACGGGAAGACGACCTACGTAGGATGGTGTCCCAAATTCTGAAACACAAATTCTTCATCGTTTCGGCCCTTTTTGGGAGTCGGAAGGCTCCCAAAGGCCTCAGGGGGGGCCCTGGTGACAGAGGAGAAGGCAAGGAGGGGGGAGGAGGAGCAGTTATTTGCTGGAAGATGACATCATGATTGGTACATTGTCTTGTTATATTATTGTCAATGGATCTATGTCCTCAGTAGGCCGGGTCATGGGACTCGGCGTGGCTAAGGTATAAATCCGCTGAACGAAAACGTACAAGTACATATGTGCACGGAAGGGAACTGGCCGGCCGAGGGCGCGCCCCTTTTCAACGTAACTGTAGCTTCATAAAGCTGCGGATCAACGTCAATATGACTCCCCCTCCCGCAGCAGGATGAGTAGGCCTGGGTTCGGCTCACTTCTGACTTGCCAGACTTCGGACCATCCCCATATGCATTGGCCCCCCAAACGCCAACCTCAAAAACCTTTTACGGAAGAAGAGACGGGATGGCAACTACTCCTGGCAGAGCTCGCAACGCGGGCCGAAGCAGACTGACGTATCCCACAAATTTAAGCAGTGCGCCAGCTCATGGACAAGATCTTGGTCAGGGACTTTGCTATGATTTTCAATAGTATGTAGACTCGGGGCAACATGCGACTTAGCCACATACTCCTCTAATGGTCAGATTCGCGATATCGTGCGGCTCAGCCGGACATCCTTTCGTATCCGCAGTCGAAGAAATCATTCCTCTCCTGCATCCGATTTCCCGGTTGAGCGCGATCCTATTTTCATTTGCATTTGTGGCTCCAATCACGTTCGAGGAGATGGTGCCTCCGATTGTAACCACGATTGTTCTACCATTGCCACTTTCTCTCCCAGTCTCTGTATATGTCATGACCAGACCGCCCAATCATGGCGGCTCGTGTCCCGCTCTCCAGTTTCGGTAGAATCGCGCTCCCTCTGAATGTCTTGGTTTGAACGGCGCTGCAACGAGGATGCCGCGGATGCAAAAGCGATTGCTGGATCGTCCGTCAGGATCACTTCGTTGCCAACTCGGAGTTCACCGGAGCGTCTGGCTTGTTGCGGCGGCGTTTCGCCGGCGCGGCCAGGAACTGGTGTTTTCTGTGCTGGCGCGCCTGGCCACTGTCTAAACCAGCAATCGCGCCAGGGGCAAGGTCAATTTCCATCGCAGTATTTGTGCTAGGAGCATCGCCGCTGACTATGGCAGCGACGGCTCCCGGCGCAGGTGCACTGATGGGACTGGCAGCAAGGCCTGTGGCAACGCCACTGGCTAAGCCAGCAGCGGCCTCGTTGCCTGCCTCGCTGGGTGACGCCAAGGTTGTGAATTCCGTGACGCCGTCGGTCGGGCCGGCGGCGTCGCCCGCCTCCATTGAATCCACATTTTCGGCTAGGCCGACAATGGGTCCCCCGCCCTCCTTGCGTGCGCGAATAACGCCGAAGGCGATCGTCGCAGCTTGCCCATCATATTTTGCCACGATTCGATCCCAGAGCTCGGCGGCGTCTCCAGAAGTCTGTTCGGCCCAATTGAATCGACCGCCGGGCTCCACGATGCAGAAATGGATCGGCGCTGCGCCATTGCGCGCAAGAGGCCTGAGGTTCGATCCCAGATCTTCAATATGCTCTTCGACCAGATCCGAACTCCTCCGGCGCCGCCCTCACCTCTGCGCGTAGCGCGTAGGCGTCCATCATCCTCTAGCTTGGGCAGTGTTCGAATCTGAATGGTACTTCCTGATGGAACATCCCCCGCCGGGATGGCAATGCAACGGCAATCTGGCACTTCGCAATGCGCTCCTGGATGGCCCCAGTAACTCTATACATCAAATCGAGGCAGCTTGGTGATCTCGCAGAAGTGGCCCACGCAGCTGATGTGGAGCTTGGACGGAGTAATCTCCTCATCGTTGCTGACTTCCCTCATTTTGCAACTGCTCCATCACGTGCTGCCTTGCCACGCTTTTCGCATGCGACTCAGACGTCTTGATGCAGATCGCCACAGTGGGGTCCCCCCCCAGCAGACGCGCGAACTTCGATCTCCCCCTCCTCCTCCTCCTAGAAAGTTCCCCTCCCACAGCGCGGCTCGAAACGTGAATGGGAGATTTCAAGGCGATGTTGAACGGGGGCGCCACTTTGTCCTCGCTGTCACCCAGGCCATCGAGACTGACCGGCGCGGGCGGCTAAGCTACCTGTGCGGACTATTTATGGTCCCACGCCAAAGATCCTCCTGTCAAATTTATGGGGGAAAATTTCTGCGCCGTGCAACCGGCTTGGAGGTTCGACGCGGCCGATCGCG